TTTTTTTTGAAGACCCTAGCCGAGTGCTTAAAGTTTCCTGGGGAGCACCGCTCCCTAGTTCGGTCTTATACTCATATCAAGTCGATAAACGCAATTACCAAAAAACCTAGCTTCCTATTAAATCAGACATTTTTTTCTAATTCCCTTTCGAACCGGAAAATTCCTTGGACATATCTTCCCAGAATAGCAGGAGCTTGTATTTATATTTAATATTTGATAGTAATACTATGAAAAAGCACAGAAAGAAGTGAAAAAAAATAGCTTAAAGGACTGTAGAAGTAATGAAAAACCTGCGGAATGATCAAGGAGCCTATGAGCCTCAAGACAAGCAAAACGCCACAAACATTACCCATACTCAAACTATAGAGATGCCGGCCCTCCCATTATAACATCATGTAAGAAAAAGCAATTTCTTAAATTTCCTGATGAAATTGTCGAAACATTTCGATTTTCACAGATGCAAAAAAGTTTTGAACACAGTACTAGAACAATTTTTTATGTTGTGATCAATTTACATTCAGTATAGATACTAACGAGACTGGGTAATGTTGTTTTTGTTCCCCTCTCAGAAACCGAGCCCTCTCGCTTTGGGGGCTATCAACAAAAATAGTTAATTCGTTGGCATGAGCCATGACACTAATTTCTGCGTCTTACCTAGACCTACCAACAAAGAGTATTGTTAAATTCCTTGTAAGTTGATATCATTATTTTTTTTACCAAAACATATGACCTGCAAAATTCAATGAATTTCAGGATAGTACTATTGAGAGCACCATGTAAGAGCTTCGTCGATTTGCTCTAGAAATATTTGGCTCAATGGCAAAATTGGATGCACATTGACGATCTACGACAATTATCTAGCGATTCTAGTATATAGATGCGGAATATGGATGTGTGTCCATATTTAGTACACCCATTTTTCATTCGCTTCCATCTCCGATAGATCGGGAGACTGTTTTTTATGGAGTGGCCACTCGTCAAGAAGCGGTTCCATTTTGCAACAGCTCATTGCAAAACCGAAAACAAAGCCAGCTGCAAGCTCTATGCCTACGGACTAGGATACAAAACCCGAAATTTTTAAAATTTCCTTATTTAATTAGGGGCACTGTTGCCCTTGGTCGAATATAAAAACGGTACCTGTGATGGTTCCAGTATCGAGCCCTATAGAAAGAAAACAGGAGAACATGATGTTTTAGCTTTCAAGTTTACAGCGTACATGAAAGGTAAGCCAAGATATTTTAGTTTAATAAGTATTATTATTTTTATAGCATCGGAAGTAGACTTTCCGGAGCTAACATAGCGTCGCAATTCGTAATATCGATCCATTCAGTCACTGGAAATCGATTACCATCTAGGAGAATCTTTTATTAGATGTTTTGGGACGAAATTCTCAAAGTCGAAAGCTTTTTGCATTTTCCATGAATTAAATTAAAATCTTCATTAATATTTGCACGAAACCCTTCATGTCATCAATCAAGCCGAAGGCATGGAAAGATAAAAAGGTATAAAAATAAATTTATTCCGTGCTTCATCTATCTGATAGATGTGAAGACAGCGACCATCATGGTGACCAGACTTTTAAAACAATTATCAGATGTTAATACTACATTGCACATTACCAGTACTCCTCAGATTTCATATCCAACTCCGCAGTAGTACTTTGGGGATAGTCCTAGTTTGAAGGAGCTCGTACCATGAAAACATGCGATTGGTGGTTAAGCTAAATTAGCCAATCAGAAGAATAGCCCTAGTTCGCCCGCCCACATAGATCCGAGTTCATTTTTATGGGTCCATCAATTGAATTGGTCATGACGTCGAATCAACTAAAATGGCTTGCGCTGCTTCTTTCATTATGGCCACTCGCATAAAGCGATATGACGTCAAGATATGAGTCAAGGGAAGTCCATCAAAAGTGAAATTAGGAAAAATGATTTTGAAAAATGGCTTGCTCTACCTTCACCCTTCAAAAAATATTTTATGTTTGTCATTTATCAACAGGTCACGATATCACTGTCATTATATCAATTAGCACGCAATATGCCTTCAGTAATTTCAATGTAAGAACTTGTAAGTAACTCTGAAAACTGCCGACTGGACTTAAGAAGGGAGTCTCTAGACATGAAAGAATCTTCATGGGAATCGGATATAATAAGTTTGGATGGTTTCAAATTCCATACTTGGGTAAAGAGCCTGCCTGAAGGACTTATCGAACGGGTGGGGTTGGTGGATCTCAAGATCATGCTACCCAGAAGCTGCCCCGTAGGAGATAACAACGGATTTTTGCTTTAGATTCTTGGGCCCGGGCGAAATTTACTGAAAACAGCCTCGAATGGAGAAAAACGCTTGAAAACAAACTGCCACGAAGCTCAAAGGTTCCACAATGTTTTGATAATGTTTCATATAGTAGTGGAGTAGGTATCAGAAGTGCTTTCGGTCAAAAAGAAGGCCTCTTCACGAGTTTCGGAAATCGGAAGCCGAGTTCTAACAACGACCACTCTCTACACCACGATTTCGTTTCGCGGTCATTGGGAGCAGGGCAGAAGCTCGGGTGACATCTACCTGATATGGCGTGTGACGCAGCAGTTCGACAGCTCCCCCTTTTGAAATTGAATTACCTCTTTGCCGGTATATCAGACCTGTTCGAGGGCTCCAGGCTGTTTTATTTTTTATTTCTGATTTCTATAAACTTCTGTTAAAAATTGGCAAGTTACCAGATAGTAACAGCACATGCATCAAGTTATTAAAATTCTGTACACTTTCAACCCTTGCCGGGAGTAAAGTAGGTACTTAGAGCTTGAATAGTAGGATGAAGTTTCTGGGAAAAGTTTTCAAAGCTGCCTTGACTCCCTATTATCAAAAGATTCAAAAAGCTTGGCAAATTCCAGCACGTTTTGCCTTAGATTCATAAGTGTTCCGCTGAGCTGGCTCCCTTCCAAATGCATAATGGCGGTGCAAAAAATGCTCATTTGCTCGGCAATTAGGAGCTGAAAGACAGAAAAAATCTCTCAAACAAAAAAAAANAAAAAAAAAGGATTTCCAGGTATATCAAGGTATATCTGGAGAATCATTTGCGCATCCCAAATACTAAACTACCTTACCTATCCGACTGTGGAAACAGTGCCTGAAAGTTACTCCATTAAAACCAGAAAATTTTAGGTACAATTTTACAAGCCTCCTGCTTCAACGAGTTACACTGAATTCGCTCCAGTGAAGTTACTCAAGTATTGAGAAGCATACAAGTTACGTCTGATTTATGTGTAACTGTGTTGTCAAAATTTTAGACATGTGCGTGCTAAAAAGCTCAGTCTGTCTAGATTGTCTCATTCACCGGATAACCACGCCCACAAACTGTATACGTACTAGCGAGACGGGAGCAAGACAAACCGGACGGAACTCACAGTAATCTCTCTCACTAAATCAGAAGCAGGAGCGTCTGATTAGCCATCTGATTAGCGAAACGAAAAGTAAGGAAGTAACAGTTAAACAAAATAACCGATGCAAAATTCGAAATATCCCAAGACTACAAGGTAAAACGGGTACCAACCTGTCTCGTCTATTCCAACTGTAACTATAATAAATGAGCTTGAAAGCATTAGGCCTACGATAGGCCCGCATTGCGTCAGATACCATATTGTGACGATTACAGAAGAATTGCTAGACGGGAGGTGGATGTGGGGACTTTGTTCGAATGCCAAGACAATGAGGGGATTTCTCTTTGCCGAATATCGCTGCGTAGAAATGTGCCAACAGCAATTATCAAATTGTATAATTAGTCGTAATGTGGGTGCCAAAGCGATGCACATCCCCATCAAACAAGTGTACATTGACGAAGTGAAATCACAGAAGCAGACAACTCGAACCCATCTGATACTCGGACGGTATCGAACAGTACAACAACTTAATCGATCGACTTCCAATACCAACGTTATCGTATTTCTAAGCTCAAAGCTAAAAATCTCAATGTCCATCTCATTAAGTGACCATGTTTCCTGTACTAGATTGTCCTAGAATACTCCCAGATCACCACTAAATTGAATTCTTGAAGGAATTGCCTGCCACGGTTGGGCGAATTTCCGACAATCAAGTCGAAATGGATTTATATATCCATTTATTCATTTAATGCACTCATAGGTACTTCATCACAAGGCTCCCAATAGGTCATATCACAGAGCTGTCAAAACCGAGAGGAACTCATCACACTTACAGGTAAGCAAAACAGCAGCTAATATTACTAGTAGGGAGCGGTTCCACAAACAAAAGTTCGTGGTTTCAGTTTCAGCCAATTAAAATAAAAATTATCGCACTTTCATTTTTTATTAATTACTTACTTACTATTCAAATTACTTACTATTTAATGCACTCACAGGTGCGCTATCACAAAGTTTTGCCAGGTCGGATCACACAATCGTCAGAAAACCTAATAGTAACTGATCGCATAATTAGGTAAGCAACGTAGCAGCTCTATTAGTAATAGGGAGCGGTTTCACGAACAAAAGTCCCTGATTTCAATTTCAACCAAGTAAAATAAAAGTAATAATAGTAGTACCAGTGATATTAGCATGCATAGCAGAACTTTTTTTCGTTTTCTCGGTTATTAAACTAGACTTATCAAAAAAAACATTTGGCACTCGCTCGCCAGATGATGGTTATATTTTCGACATGAGAAGTTTTCGTAGACTGAAACTGGGCGTTTTCGAAGAGTTCGAAAGTTTTTCTCTCGGGTTTTGAAAGGCCAACTGAAATTTGAGAACGATTAAATTTGCTATCATTAGGAGCACGTTTGAATTGCTGTAACCTTACTGAGAAATTTCTGTAAAGAGAATTCAGCGAGTCATTTACTGAACAAAACGTTGTCATGATATAGTTACGGAAAAGCTGGTATCTTCTTGAATTCAGGGACGCTTTTTCACCTTTTTCGAAAAGTTTCGGGTAAGAGCTCTCAAAATTGACCTTGAAAGGACTCGAACGGCTACCGTGAGATCGCTCTAACCAAACTAGACAATTTCTAGATATCCCCAGTAATCTGAAGCATGGGATTGACCGACTATGCGTACGATCTTGCAGTAGACAGTTTTTATTTCTATTTTACCAAATTCATCCACCATTTAAAGGCTCGTTTTTTCACACGCAGTCTTGAAGCAGTACAAGCTGGAAATTATGGGCGGAGTGCTCCGATTGGAATCTTAAGCGATCAGCCAATCAGAGACGCCTGCCGCCACCACCGCGCCTCTGCACAGAAAACCGTTTACGGTACGGTACGGTGTCGTGCGACCGAGTATAGTCTAGCTTTGAAAAATATCTGGTGTACGCCCCGACTAGAGAACACATCGTTTTTTCTGATCGGTGAGCACCAGAACAGATTTCAAATTTTTCTTTACATCAATCCTCTATTTTTCTCTATTACCTAGGTAAAGCCGGCCAAACAGCCACTTGTGCCGCCTCTTTTATCATTTCTCCAGGTCGCGGTGGTCGTTCTTCAAACAACAGCTGATCACCGATCGATATTTTCCTCGGGTGTATGGGAGACGACAATAGTTCTGAATTATCTCAACGAAACAGTATATTTCAACAAAAGTGCTCTAGTAACTTTACCAGAATCCTACATACCCGGAGCTGCTATCGGAATCATCCATGGCTGAAGGCGATCGAGCACTGGCCGACACCTGTTCACCTCGCCACCCTCGTGCATGAGGTATCACTTAAACACCACGGCGAATTCAAAAGCGAAATTAAATCGCGTACAAGTAAAGCAAATGAGACGATAGCAAGTAGATTGCCAGGTAAGTCTTAAGTGTAGCGCGTGATGAGTCGTCGAGTCAAAACGTGATCAGGTGTGAGAATAAGACACTGAGCTGCTTTCATAGTCCACGATTCAGCCCGCGACCGGTCGCTGCGACCAGTCGCGGGCCAAATCGTGGACTATGAAGGCAGCCTCATTGCCTCAGAAGTTTCAAGATTTTCGCTTAGAAAGAAAACCAGAAAAAATGAGTTTTCATTGTTGGCTCGTAAAATAGTTGATACTACTAATAAAGCATTATGAGGATGACTCCTCTTTCAAACTATTTACCGGGTACCATCATATTATCATAACATCCGGCTGCGGTGAGGAAATATGTAATTCTATCAGCATGGCTTAACAACAAGTTTTTGAAATCGATTCAAATATAGCTTCTGTAAAACACTGAAAAACTGTTCGTCATATTATGAATAAAGTCCAAACGTAATGGTATCATTCCCCATGAAATAGGAGGGCTAGCGGAAGCTTAGATACGCTTGTGTTCATACTTAATCCCACCACTGTTACCGTTCATTTACTGTAACAGTAGAACTGTGCAACAACGAGATAACCTATAATATCTAAAACATTTTTCAGTGCCAAGTAGTATATAGTAGAAACTTTGTAAAGTGAAGATTAGTGGTAATGACTCTATGTGAACATTGACTTTACTCCTAACTGCGCAGTAAGAATGTTCGTCTCAGAATACTGCGGCAGTGGAAAAATAGAAAGAAGCATCGGTCATAAAGTGAGAGTCCAACTACTGTAGGATACCTCTGTACATTTCAAATGAACAGTCAAAGTCACCATGAGTACAGTAGTCCATCGAACTCATAGCGGTGCAAGTAAAGCTAAGGAGTTTGCGTTTAAAAAAGGGATTACTGTATTAACAAGAATTCTGACCATAACACAGCCCAGACAGAGGGTACTTTAAGGGACACTTTTGCAGCGCGCCCTTAAAAGAGATTAATTTTCTATTACACTAGAAGACTCATCGACGAGGGCAATTAATTAGAATACGCTAAAGGAGGTGAAGAAATTAAATGAAAAACGAACGCTATACTACGAATCATTGATAAGAGTTCAGTTAGACTTACCAATTAGATGGCTATCCCATTAATTGTTCTGGATAGGTAAAAAAAAGCGAGAGAATTTGGTCTTACCCGTCCTCGTAAACAGAACTACATATGTGGATCATGGAAGTCTCCAGATCAGTTACCCTAATCCGAAAATGCTTAGTCAGAGTCAATGGATAGAACGAGTAGTTGGCTACCTGAATGTGGATGCGATCTTTCGGACTGTACAGGTACTATGCACATATAGTTGTCATGTTAAGGTAAGCCTCTGTCCAGGAGCTATTCGCCTGATTCGTTTCATTCAAACTGTATTTACCGACCAGTTAATAACAAGGAGTAATTCCAAAAAACTTCAAAATCTTGTGTTTGATGCTTGTATATCTGATTCTCCTGAAAGAGGTCCATGAAAATGATATAACATAACATTGATGTAATGATGAAACTAATCTAGGATCGGCATAAGAGCTAATATTACATACATGCAAAATTTCGCTGCCCTGAAAATAAAACGGGTGTATATCAAGAAATAATTAGGAAAAATAGAATGTCGACCAGTGAGTTCATTAATTCCATACCTGCTGAGATCACGGGGACAGAGGAAGAACATTGATGACAAGTGGCAGGAGCGATGGGAATTAATGAGTTCTAATACGGCCATAGAAAGCAAGAAAGAATTGAATTCTTCAGCGTCTTTTTGAAGTAGAACCTTGGCACCTCGGTAGGTGATGTGGAGTATGACGATATCGTTACATTTAGGTGCATATTGGTAGGAATTGAGAGCATTTATGAGATCTGGCAGAGGACCATAGAAAGCAACAGCTAATGGGTCCATTCTACTGACCGTCTCAAACTCGTAACCGTACCGCCTCTAGACTCCATTTTAATCTCAGAATCACTGACAAAAGCAGACAAAAAAGAGATAAGATCGTCGCTGTAAAATTAAAACCTGGTCGTAGTAAAACTAAAACAGAAAATGAATTATGGATTTTCATAGCCGGTACTGTTGAAACAATTGCAGTGAAAGGAGGAAGCCGTAGGTTTCTCCAGCGTTGCGACTTTCTATNAGTCGGACGGTGAAGGTTTCGAATTTAACTAATAATTAATTCACCACAATTCTCGTTGTACAACCTCATATGGGCTATAAATTACTAGTTGTATTTACCTACTGATGCTGGACTCGATAGAAAGTTCTATAACTCGCATGTTTTACGAGTCACATTACTTGACATACAGGCATTATTAATACAGAGTATGCTCGTTTTCTCAGTAAACTGTGAAACCAAGCTCTCGACTGCACGTCAACTCAAATAAAGCGGGAGGAACTCACAATAATATACAATAATTAAAAATTCCCGATGTTAATACTGTATGAGACAACCTTTGTAGGCCATACGCTTCAGAGGAAACTAGGCTCAGCAATTGATGAATTCAATGCAGCCACTCTATCAGAATGTTGCTAATTTCCGAACTGTCATTCAGGCTTCTGGAAAGGTACGATGAAAAATAACATATTTCCGCCAAATAATCAGACAAAGGAAATTTATGTCTACTGTAGAACATCTTTCACAGACGCTCCCCTGGTCGATATTTCAATTTTATCTTTACGTAATACTACATTTTCAGAGTGGCTTCCCCGATCAGCAAAGAAAATTCATTGAGGCCATAGATCTATGCATGAATCAACTGTCGGCTATACAGTAACGACATTTACAGAACATATAAAGTTACTGGAATTAGAACGCGTCCCCAACAAGAAAACCACGAAAATCCCGTAGATGGGCAAGCAGGTCTACTTTTGTGATGTAATCGAATGAAAAAAGGATTGCCAAGCTCTTGAAAGCCTTCTCGCTGTTGAATACGTCGCCTAATAACCTCTGCACTCTATTTATGGAGCACTTTGTAAAAAGCAGGTTTCACAAAATAGCTTTTTTAGAACAACTAACTCCTTTTGCCAACAAATATACGAGGACGAAAAAAAAAATGAAAGAACTATTTTTATCTAGAAAAAAAAATCGTCCTATCACATTGAGAGAAGGGACCATCATTTTATTAAGAAAATATTCCTATCAAACTATCGAAGTACAGCAATACCACCGAGAAAAAAGTGAATTTCGGCAATGTTTCTCGAAATAAGGAAGTCCCATCAGAAGACGACCGAGATGATTTCCCAAGCCTATCAACCCGTCATAACGCTAGCGCCGACATAATTGAAAAAGTAGTCGTGCAGCGTACACGACTCCCCGACACTTATTACCACTCAGGAGGAACATTCACTCGTTAAATGTTCACTAGCCAGCCTTTTCATGACTACATCACTCCAACGATTACTTCTTGCTACTCAGAGTGGATCCCAGGTCAGCAAAAGAGACAGAAAATACCAGCAGAACGAGGAGCTGTACCTGCAAATTGCAGAAACAATTGAAGATTATTGCAGGAGGAAGTTACTAGCCCTGAGAGAGAGCAGGATCTCTAAGGTTTTTTTTTGTTACCATGTCTAACAACATATTAGTATCAACAACATTAACCACCTGAGCAGAAAAAAAAATGAGAACCCTGCTTTCTGTGTATTACGACCAACAAAACTCTAGTATCTTTCACTTTTTCTAAAGTAATTTAATTTGTAAGCAGCACTAGGCTGCAGACGAGAACACCTCTTGAATGGAGTGAACCAAGTATTGACTCAGATCAAAAATGATTGTGAAGCAGATACTCGAATGAATCGTCGTATGATCCCCTTATTAAGGTATTGCTGAGTAGTGTTCTTTGATAGGAAGGAGCTATATGAGAGGAGCCGCGCGAGCCCAGGGGTAGAATAAATGTACACCAGTAGATATGACATTTTTCGATGCTTCAAGACCTCAAACTGCCGTTGAGATGGTTATGTTTTTTCGGTCTGAAGGGTTTTAGAGTGGAATCTTACAAACGATAGAAGGTACTTTCAAATGACAGAAGTACTGGCCAAATTGTCGCAAAATGGGTGAGATCTTTTCCGACTAAAACGTCACAGTAGGTTTAATTATCTAAACAGAGTTTAGAGATAACGCTGATGGCCGTTATCAACCAAGCAGCTGCAAAAAGCTGATTAATTTCAACCTCATTGTAATGAGAAAGGCTCTCTGAAGCGAAAAGAGATCTTCACGGTTCGTGCGACAGTATTAAATTACAGCATATTATCATGAGATTATTAAGACGAAGATATTAAAGGGAAACAAAACTGAAGAGCTTATCGAATTGCTGTCGTGGTTGAAATGAACTACAGCAACTGGGGGTGGCGACGCACTGCCAAATGGCGTACAGTCATAGACATTGTCTAAAGATGAAATCCCTGATCGATCTCTACCCTAAACAAGCGAGCCGCAAGTTCGGGGTACGACAATTGATACTATATTTGTCTGAAAATATAAAAACACTGAGTATTATGCCGGCCGGTCTCGCAAGTCATTGTATAGGCCACATACGCACTCAAATGCCAATAAAATTCTAAATGGAAGTCAAATGCGAAGGCGTATCCAGAACCGGATTGATCGAAGTCAAAAGATATATTTTCGTCTTTTATCAGGGGGATGGTATAGGAGTTGGACATTCAACAAAGCGTTAAACAATCCTTAGGAGGGGCCTCACATATCAACATCCCTTCAATTTCCGTTGAATCGTACAGGTAATCGAATGGGCGTTGCTTTACACATTGAGTATCTTTCGACCCATGCATGAAGCTTACCTAGCCTAATGGATACGATAATTTGGGTTCCGGAAGTCAAACCACTTTTAATAACAAAGTTCGGGTCCTATACTTGCAGGCAATCAAGCCAAGTTTTGAAATTCGAGATTGTAGAAGCA